ACTTTAGTTTTAGTTTTGGACCCGGACTTTTGCAGCACTGGTACCTGTGCCGTCCGGGCGGGAGGAGGGCATGGAAAACCCACCGCCGCCCCTTGGATCCACCTATGTCTCCGAAAGAGGGTTTGTACACTTAGACGTTCACTCTTTCTCAGAACCCCGACTTCAGCTGAATGGTGGCATAATGTGGAATCCCCTTCTTTCTTCCCCATTTCCCCTCTAGAAGAGACGGCACTTTGAAGTTTGATGCAAAACGCATGATCGCACCGGCTCGCCTGGTGCGTTCCAGCCTGGGTTTTCTAAATAGCACATTCCCTGATGCATTTACTGTCTAAAAATTCAAACCTAAAATACCAATGGAAATTAACTTACTAAACACAAAAGCAGCACCCGCGCTGAAGCTAGGCACAGAAAAAACCCATTCAAACAAACACATGATTTCGAAAAACAAAAAGCATTTAGCCATTTTCTTTTTCACAAATAATTCGGCACAGACGATAGCTACCACGGACTAACTGATGTGGGAGGAGTAGGAATGGTGAATTCATCTTCTGGCATCTCTTCCCATCCAACACCCCAAAGACTTTCAAGATCATATTTTAAGCGTGCATCTCGCGACATCATATGTAAAACAATATTTCCAAAACTGTAGCACAGCCATCTACCAACCTTGCTTTTCCTTGGTGGCACCACCTGAAAAGTCGATTTAACATAAGACCAATTAGCAGCAAAAAATGCCAAATTACTTATGACTGCGATATTTTATCTCTAACAAAGTTCCAATGCAGACGCCTCATGATGATGCGGGAGTGACAGAGAGCTCGACAGACGCAAACCTGGCATTGCCAAGCATGCCACCAGAAGAGTGCATCGCATTTTGTTTGCCTAGGCCTGGTGGTACAGGCTACTATCAGCCTAACCAGAGCAGTGGTAGTGCAACAAAGATTATGTAATTATACGCAAATGCAAACGCTACAAAACACACCATGGGGAAGAGCATAAATGAAAAGAAATAAAGTGGGCCTTAAAAACCTGCACGAATTGTTAAATCGATGAATTCTTAAGGAGTGTCATGCTGGTCTGCCGCTTACAATACCCTTCCATCAGGAGCTGGGGTGATATATATACTAGCTCGCAACATGCGATAGCCACTTCCTGTATCGAAAAAGGGTAGTGCGGTAGCATCCTTATGAACGCGCTAAGTGTTGCCCAAGATGTGGCCGATTTCGTTCTTTTTGGCGTATCTTTGTTGTCCCCTATCTTTGTTGAACCAATTCATACCAATGAACAGTTTGTCTGCTTCCGCCATTGTAGCTAGCTCAAACTTGCTCTATCCTCCCTCGTGCCGATGCAGCATTTGCCAGCGTGCTGCCAAGATTACCATGTCGTACTTCGACAATTTCTAGACACTATCACACCAGGATGCCTGGCCGAAATTATGTGCAAGGTTATAAAAGTGGGAATTGCGGAGACACACTTTTATTCTTATTTCAGCAAACAGGCATAACTTAATTCTCCAAACCAAAGAAATTACTGTTTTTTTTAGACATAGACTTAACTGGTGAAAAACAAAACTAGCGAACCTCACAGTTTGTTTTCAGCTTGAAACACTTGCGAATAGCCAGCATCATCGCTTCGCTGTGTCGGGTATTGTGGGGCGTGCAAATAACAATATTCTTATCCGCAAAACCAGGCACCGGTACTCTGATACAAACAATATCTTCGGCACGCTCCTCTCTCAAAATATTGATAATTTCCTGCACACTGAATGGAGTGGCCAAAGAACGTTGCTCAAAATTTAATAATGGCTCCAGGCGCCGTCGCAAGTGATCTGCAACGTATATTACCAGAAATGCAGAAACCGTTTAAAAAGAAAGCACTATGAATGCGCAGTCATTAAACAATGTGCCCCCCCC